TTTCCTTCAGTAATGGAACACAGATTCTAGCCGCCTCTGTTAAGGGCAGTTGAGAGAAAATCCTGAATATCCCTATTCCTTTTTCCAGGATGTTTTTTTCCAGCCTCTTTCTATATCAGTATCGCGAGCTCCATGACTGTAGAGCATTTCTATTACTTTGAGGGCAGTGAAAATGTCAATCCACCATAGGAAGCGCAAGAAACCCTCATTGAGCGAGCAGGCTTTGCTCTCCCTCTTGCGGTCCAAGCGCGTCATTCCCGCAGCCTCCCCCAGCTCCGCCACTGAATTCAAAGGCTCTGCGCACTCTTGGGAGTATCCAGAGAGAGCGAGCGTGTCGCTGTTTATTCAAGGAAACGATATGGACAAAGTTTTCATTGAACCCCGATGCTAAATTTTATATAGCTCTCGTTAGGAGCCCGATGATGATTTTGATTCTTTTGGCTAAATCTTGTAATCCAAAGAAAGGTTTTTCCAATTTACAGTTTTTAATGTAGCTTGAATACTCTAGACAGGAGGTATCGGGTGGAACACAACGCACTCCTTGCTGTATCACCAAGCGTGTTTTTGACACTTTTCAACGAGCAGTGCTTAAAAAATACATGAAGCACTTAGGAAAGTACCAGCAAATGAAACAGTTTCAGTGAAGTTGTTTGGATACTCTAAGGTCATTGCAAGCGGGTGGAAAATTGGAGCCTGTACTGAACTGAATAGGAAAAAATGAAATTGTGTGTATAACCAGATGGGGAATATTTGAGTTTCTAAGACCTGGGTTGGTTGGGTTTTTTTATTTTTTTTACAAAAGAGAAAACTGCACTTTAAATTACTCACAGATGAATGTGAAAAAGCAGTTTACTCTGCACACCTACATCATAAATAACCCCCAGAGGAATGGTGCAGTGTGGTTTGTTTATGCACCAGAAGAGTCTTGTGAAACATTTTGCCTCCATAACTCATAATCCAAACAAAAGAGAATCCCTAAATCTGAGTCCAAATGGTCTAAAAGAAAATGTGTATGAGGAAGATTCCTCTACGTGCCCGCCGACACAATAATTACTTCTTCCAAATACTCTGTAATACTTGAGTCAGTCTTCTAGAAGAGACAGACGGCTGGTTACCTGAGATGTACTCTCAGCTCTTCTCAGCCGGAGGGGACCGAGCGCCTGCTGCCAGCACGACTCAGCAGCACATGCACCTGCTGCTTTATCCCGCATAGAACTCAAATACAAAGTGTGTTGTTGCCTATCGGATGGGGCAGCTCAGCGAGACCCATTTAGCCCACAATATCCCCAGCATTGCCCCGGGGACCGCACGGTTCCAACCCTCCGGTTTGTACTTGACACATGACTTTTCACAAGACGTGTAATTTAAATTACAATAAGCTCCGGTGCTGGAGCCGAGGAACTGCACAGTAAGTGGATGCTTTTTCCTAACATCGTCTCCGAAACTAAGAGGAAAAAATGTCTAATTCACAAAGAAACTTTAAAAACGGCGATGGGAAAGGGGTACGGGCAGGCCGTCTCCTCCTGTGACCTCTCGGCCAGCCTTGCCCTCGAAGCCCTCCAGCCTCCAGCCGGGTCCCCTCCCCGGGACGCCGTCGGGGCCGGAGCACGCGGGGGAGGCGGCGGCCCCGGGAGCGCATCCCGGCGGCAGGGCCGGCCCGGGAAGGGCCCCCGGCTCGGGGCCGCTCCTCCCGCCGGCTGCCGGGGCCGCAGAGCCGCGCAAGCCCCGCCCGGGCGCCCCGCGGGGGCGGCCCCGCTGCTCAGTGGCCGCCTCGGCCGTCGCTCAGGCGGCCGCGCCGCTCGCCGCGGGGATGGTGGGGCGGGCGCCGAGGGGCGCGGGCAGCGCCCACAGCCCGGACGGCGCCCGGCGCGGCGAGCCACGGCCGGCCAGGTCTGACCTCCCTTTCCTTGTCCCCTTCCCTCCGTTCGCGAGCGGGGCCGCGCCCGGGCCGGCCCCCGGCCCTTCCCGGCGGGGGTCGCTGCCGGCGGCGGGGGCGCGGCGGGACGGCAGGCGCGGTGCCCCCGGGTGACAGCGGCGGGCGGCGGGGGGCGGAGGGCGATGCTGGGGCACATCACCGCGGGGTGTCGGGTCACGGCGGGACCCCGCGCTGTCCCCAGGCGGTGTCCCCGCCGCTGGGGACTGGCGTGCCCGAGGTCCCGTGAGGTCCCGTAAGGTCCACGCTTCTCTCGTCCCGCTGGCAGTGCCGCGCCGCATCCGTGCCGTCCTCCCAAATATAGAAGAGAGAGAACAACACAACTCCACAACAAACGCGCAAAATTAGGATACTTTTGAGATCGGCTACCTTTCAGAATTTCAAGACATTAAATTGGCACGTAGTGTGGTGTCACACTGCGACTTAAAAATTGCTGTCATCAGGGAAAGGACATAAAATGATCTTGCGTGCTTTAATCTTGTGTGCTGCACGCATTTGATACTGAGAAGCCGAGCAGGCAGCAATGAGCTGGGAGGGGGCAGCCTGGCCCCTGAAATCGGGGGGTTGCGGGGCTCTGCACCCGGGGCTGGGGTGGGCAAGCACTGGCTGATTGCATCACTGCACGGGAACAACCTCATCAATACCTAGGAAGCAGCAGAAAAAGCAGTCGTAAATTGGATTTTCAGGGAAGTTTTAAATAGCGCAGGCAAGTTTGTTTGAGCATAGAATTATGTAAAATGAGTCAAATGGAAAATAAAGTTACCAGTGTTTGGAGGTGAGTAAGGGCCATGGCCAGCAACAACTCTGAGAATGAGTTCCTTGATTCCTACACAGGTCCACTTTGTGTCTCATCATTTCCCTTCTCCAGTCCAATCTTGATGGCACCAAAAATATTTTTAAGTCTTGAGTTTGGATGAAAAAATAGAAGAAAGGGACTTGAAATTCAAGAAGTATGGTCCAAATGCATTTAGGCCAGTAAACATTTAAGGATGGTGAAGGGAATCCACAATGCACTATGCACTAACCCACGCCTCTTGAAACAGAAGAACTTTCCAAACTTTCTCCAGCAGAGAAGGGACATCCAGAACATACAGACAGAATATGAAGCGTTTAGTTAAACACTGCATTTTGTTAAAAACAGAGGAAAACACTGACAGTGTGATAAGGAATATGTAAATTTTTTTAACACTCTTCAAAAAGGTAGAACATTGTTCCCTCCCCCCTGAAATGTATTTTGATAATTTCCAAGCAGACGGCAAAGAAAAGGAAATTATATCAATCCCTTTGGGTAAAATGTGACATTCTGACTTCTTGAAGCCTAGAAAGAGGTTTATAAACTTAAAAAATGAAAAAGACAAATTTAATCTTTCCAGACTTGTCAAACTTGTCTCAATTAATTTTTGATGACATAATTAGAACTTAAGGTTTTAATGTGTGCTTTTTTAGTTTACTTTTCAAAAGATTTAACTTTTTAAGACTCAGGGGAAATGGAGGGCTTTGCGGTGGGAACTGGAGCAGGAAGAAGGGGCGGACTCTGTGTAGGTTTGAGTGCTGATTCAGAGTACTCTATTAAGCCAAGAGAAGATGAACTCATTTTTATCCTCCCTTGGGGAATCAGACAAGAAACAGGAAGTCATTGATTCTAAGTAAGATCATTCACTCTGTAATTGTAAACAGTGTCTTATGTGCCGGTAAATATTTCCAGAACCTATTGGCTCGTTGGAAAATACAAAGTAAATTATTACAATCTCTAGCAAAAAAAAAACACAATAAAAAGAGTTATTTTCAATCCTTTTATACATAATGTTTATGCAGTGGAATATTAATGAGTTTGGACATTGAGAAACTACTTGGCTGGACACAGTGTTCACTGCCAGAAATCCATCTACTCAAATGTTTTGTCTGTTGAAAGACAAACATTTTTAACTCCACCCTGTAATATTGCGCCCTACCAAAAAGCAAAAATTCTCTCATTACTTGACCCGTTTGTGTTTTCACTGCCACAAACACTGAAATATCCCACTTTTAACCAGATGTTGGCCTTGTCCATTTCTGTTTTATGTAGCTGCAATTAGATAAAAAGGAAAAGCCTAAAATATCCTAAATAGTCTAATAGTATGTTGCCACTCCTCATTACTTAGGAGAGCAGAATTCAGATGAATCTGCAGCTGAAATTACTTCTTCACTGCAAAACAGGAGAAGCTGCTGCTTGGCAGTGCCACCTTCACCCCTTGGACAGGGGGATCCTGGACAAGCAGAGATGAGCATGGATTAGGGACAGGACAACAGTGAGCAGCTTGCTTCTCTCACAGTCCAGGGAATTTTCTGCTAAACTTAAAAAGAGAATGGCAAAAGACATTAGAGGTGCCTTGGTCACCTAGAAGGACTGCAGCTGAAATGCTTGTGTTTAGAATGTGGGTGTTGTAGGATTGGCTTAGGAAACTATTTTAATAATGTACTTAAATCCTAGTGATTCCATGGGGATTCCTGAGTGGGAGATTGCTGAAAAAGGATAGTTGTAACCTCTGACTTAGCAGCTTGAATCCCAGCCTCCAGGACCAAAGGAAGAAAGAGCAAAAAATGGAGCATTTCCATTTTATGGAATGGTTGTCCTTTCCTTTAAGTTAAGTTAAGGTATGGAATGCAAGAAATAAGGAATTTAGGGTATGAGAAAGGAAAGAAGGTTTTGACCCAGCGTTTTTCACCTGTTAAAATGAACTTGAGAATCACATGAGACATGAAACTTTAGAAGAGAAATAGAAAATATTACTGTAGCAAAGAAAAGTGAAGGACTTTTTGGAATTTGCTCATGAATTAGATCTGTCTTGTGCTGCTTTTCCTTTTTTCTTCCTGTTGTCAAAAGCAACGGAGAAGATAAATTCACACCTTCGTCTCCAGCTGAGGGGTTTCAAGTGGGGCTGCCTCTTCTGATGCAGGAAGGAAGGGAAGTGCTTGAAGCTGTGCTTCTGGAGGCCTGGGATAGTCATGGGAGGGGGGCTCTCAGAGGTGTCACTTATTCACACACTTATTCACACACTTATTGTGTCAGGACTTGCAGTGTGGAGATCTGCATTAGCCACAATCTTCCTGTATCAGCCTCCTCCACCATGCTGAAAACAGTGGCTACTTGCCTTTCCTCGTCAGTGTCCCACTGTTCAGGTGACAAACATCCAATATAACCTTATGACTTGTAGTTTTTTTCTTTGTTGTGATCTTCCAGCAGCCTTCCACTGAATGATGTTTTTTACATGTTTATTATTTTTAGGATAAAATTGATACTTAGGAGCTATTTAGGCTTCATTTTCAAAGCCAAACCTAAGTGTCCAGAACCCTGCAAAGGCCAGGCCTTTTCTTAGCAAGGGATCTTGGACTGAATGGTTACATTCAGCCTTCCACTTACTCTATTAAACTGTCTACAAATACTTGGGGTACAACAGAGCCCAGTCCTTCTGCTTACACACAGATGATTTTCTTGGCTTCTCAGACTCAAACCATGATGAGCCAGCTCTCATCCTGAGTAATTTTTCCAGAAATGCTTGTCCAGAAGGGCACTGAGGCTAATTTCCAGAAGGCATGAGCAATTAAATATGGATAGAAGCACAGATTTGAGCCTGAAACATGCCTGAACCAGGATGTCCTGAGATCTGCAACAGCTAATGCAAAAAGATTGTTTTACACGTGGGGGGTCCATTAGAGACCATTTGCTCACCCACCTTTCCATTTGGAGTCAGAAACTCCCCCTTCCATCTCGTTAAGGATATTGAATTTTAAAGGAGATTTGATTAAGCTGAATTTTAAAAGACTTTTAAAAGAGTGGTCTGCCAGATATTAAACTTGCATAAAACCAAATGTGCTACTAACTCACAGGCAGTTACACCTATGTAAGGCATTTGCCAAGCTCAGTTCTGAGTAAGAAAGGATATATGCAGTAACTGAAGATTAAAATGTGAGATGTGTTTCTGCTTATCAAGGAAAAATAATTGCAGCCACAGGATAATCAAAGAAATTAAAGTACAATAAACCTAAATATTGTCAACACAGATTTCAGAATTTGATAGTTATGAAAAGGGCTTCAGAAAACTAACATTTTTACCATGTTTTATGAAACTGTACTTGTATAAAATTCGGGGGCATTCTTGAGATTTATATAAAATAGGTTAGTATGCATATTAAAATAAAGTCAGACATTAAATACAGACTGAATTTGACATGGGGATTTTTTTCCCTTTCTTTTTCCAGCATAAATATGGCTGAACTTTCAGAGCCAGAAGGTACTGTAAACTGGAAGGAAAGATGTTTAACTTTGGAGTCACAGTTAATGAAATTTCGTCTCCAGGCAAGCAAGATCAGAGAACTGTTAGCAGAAAAGGTAGGTCTCATGGGATGAATTTTAATGATGTTTAAATTATTATATTTTATTATGGGAGTCGATCACAAGTCATGGTTTGAGATTACAAGTACTGAGATTTTTTCAGAAAGAGAAAAATAGCCTTTTACAACAAAATATATGGAAACTATGTATGTTTTAATGCTGTGAAAGAATTTTACACATCAGAATTGCCAGCAATAAATGTTCATTTTCAAGTGAGAGCATGCTGGCAACGCTCCTGCAGAAAAAGATATGTATGCAGTAATCACTTTTACAACACTGATGTTAATATTTAACACATTTATTAAGTATTTAAGATGT